AGGGTGGGGAGGTGAATAAATAATAGGAAATAAAACTTCATGAAGCAGAAAATAAAAGGCAGATTATACAGATGTGGCAATTTGAAGGATCATTGCCTCTGTCCTCTTTTTAACTGCTGCATCTGGAGTTTTGAAGCAGCTTATCCTCTCCCTCCCTCTGCAAGGTCCCCGCCTGGCTGGAGGCCCCCATGGGGCCAAGGCACGTGTGGGGACAGCACCTCAAACACTATACTGCTGGCATTTCCTAGCATTGCAAGTGGCTGCCTAGCCTTAGGCAAGCTCACACGGTCAGGGCAGTGGGTGAGAGGGCAGCTGGGGCCTGTGGGTGAAGCCCTCAGTCAGGTGAGCGTGTGGCTCTGTCCCCGAGAGGAGGGGCAGCATCTGAGTGTGAGGAGGGGCACGGGTGAGGACAAAGTGGGCTGTGGTGAGCATGGGGACAGGTGGATGATGCCACAAGCTTGGACTGTCAGGAATGGGGTGGGGATTTGTGTCTGAGTGAGCAAAGGGGACCCCTGGCCAGGGAGGATTTGGAGGAACATCAGCTGGAAGGTCTCCGCAGCTTCTCCCCCACCCCCATCAAAATTCATTTGTTAAGCCTCAGTTTGACACTGTGCCAGGTGCTATATAAACAGACATGGTCCCTGCCCTTAAGGAATTTCCAACCTAAGACACATACACACTGACATTTTGTTTATTTTATTTTAAATATTAATGTATTCTCCTTGTTTCAGGGAGGATTTGAGACAGATCATAGGAAATGCATGCAATAAGCTGATAAAATACAAATGAAAAAGGAAGCATCAGAGCCACGGAAAAGATACCATGGGTGGTTTAGTGGGTCCTGAGCAGTTCAGGGTTGATCTGGAAACTGGCCTTAATTTTCTCAGTGGTTGAGTAAAACATCCACCATGGTCACGTACTTGGATCTCATCCATGAGAAAAAAATGTTCCAGTTCTCAGAAGAAGCAGCCTTTTTGGTAACATTTGGCTCTAAAGGAAAGTATTCACTTTGGCCTTAATTAAGGACACCAGGCGTGGACAATCCTCTCCAAGACACGGCAGCCAATTTAGGTCCAGGTTCATGTGCAGCGTCCAGTGGGAAGAGCTGATGTGATCTCTCCCAAACTCTGCCCAGTGAGAGTACTGGAATCCAGACTATCTTGAACAAAGAAGAATTCTGGACACTTTCATCATCTCATCAGCACTGGGACTTTTTCCCAGTGGGTTTTGAACCACAGAGTGAGCATGTGGCCATGGCCAGAGTCTCAAAGGAAATACTAGTAGCTAAAGTCAGGGTGCCAAATTTAGTCCAGACCAGGGTCAGGCCAGTAAATGTAGATGGAGAGGAGAAGAGGGCCAGGAAACATGGGCTAGACTTTTCTGTAGATCCTGGATGAAGGAGTCATCACTCTCCATGGACCTCCTACCAACCCTATGTCCTTCTACAGATGCGGACAAAAAAATCCAACAGCCAGGAGTCTTCACACTGATATCAAAGGTGAGGCAAAAATCCCACCTGGGTCAAGTCTGTTTATGCATCCTGGTACCTTGCTGATCAAAGCAGTGGGTGAACTACCACAGACCATTACAGAACAGGGGAGTCAGGAAAGTACAACACTTAAGTTCAGTTCAAAAGGTTACATAACTGTATTGCACCTAAAGATTTCCTGAGGAGCCACGTCTTGCACAATTAAAAGCTGCAGGTGTGGCATACAAAACAGAGACCAGGGCTGAAGGCTTTGATTTGGAAACTCCCCTAGAAGCTGTCTTGAAAGCCCTGCAGTCAGCCAGACTGAGGTCACACCTTGTGGGAAGACTAAGTGTAGGGGATAGGAGGAAGAGCAGGAAGAAAAGCAGGAAAGACAGAAAAAGAACATGCAAGAAACTAGAGTAATCAGGAGAACTGGGAGAGCTGGAAGTCCAGGGAGGATTTTTTTTTTTTTTTTTTCGGTACTAGGGCCTTCATGCTGTTAATCACCAGCCTTTCTATTTTTAATTTTGAGATAGGTTCTCGGTAAGTTGCACAAGCTGGGCCAGAACTTTCAGTGCTTCTAACTTGGCCTTCCAAAGTACTAGAGGATAGTTTTGAGATGTGCATTCTTTGAACTCTAGATACCAGGCTTGGGAAGGGGGCCCTGGAGATGCATTGGATACCAACATCTTCTGGGAGCAGAGAGACAACAAAGAGGACAGGAGAGGAAAGGAGGGAAGGAAGTAGAGCAGAGAATAACTGGCAGAGGAGACTTAAGGACAGCTTCGTGGAAGAAGTGGAGTCTGGATATTAGTTGAGTTTCTCCCTAACATTTCTTCCTCCTATAGTGTCCTCATAATACTCAGCATTTTTGAAAGCCGATGCCAATCTCCGTCCTTTGGGTGGTACTGACAGCACTGCTACCATCTCCCAGGATGTACTTTGATTGTCTTGAGCCCCTGGTCTTGACTTAAGTGATTGGCTCAAATGGGCCATCAGCTCAAGGAGGCTCTATTCCCAGATTGAAGACTGAAATTATGGGAAGCAGGTAGTCTCTCTCTACTTGATTTGCACCAAGAAGAGAGATCTTGGGGGCCAGGGATTTAGTAGCACCATGCCTGCCTCAAAAGCGCAAGGTCCTGAGTCCAATCCACAGTGAGAAAGACAGAGAGAGAGAGAGAGAGAGAGAGAGAGAGAGAGAGATCTTGGGAGCTACCAGGGCCATCTTTGTACCATAAGAGATGCTTCTGCCTCCAAGGCCTGGGAGCTGGAGCCCCAGAAGAATAAGAAAGAATTGAAATGTTAGATGGGTGCACAGCCCTAATTACCCAGTTATCAGAACTAATCAATGTCCTCACCTGCAAAAACCCACTTGCGCCAAGATTCCTTATACTTACAACCTCCAGGCAGAGGGAGATCTGAGAGCAGAGGCTGGCTTCAAAACAGGATGATGGGTTGGAGGTTAGCACATGAGCCAGAGCCCTGAGGGAAGGGAAGGGTTATCTGGGGGTGGGAGCTGAGAAGTTGTGTTCTAATAGCTAACCTGCTAGGCTTTCCTTCTGTGCCAGACATTGTTCTGAGATGTTTACGTGCATAATTTCACTAAGTCCTCTGAGGCTCTTGTGAGGTCAGCAGTGTTATTATCCCCATTTTGTAGAGAAGTAACCAAAGCACAAGGGGCAGCATCAGATGTCCGGGACTCAAGCCCGGGCAAGTGGGCTCCAAGACCTGGCCACTGAGGCCACACTGGGGATTGGCAGAGAATTGGGACGATCAGGTAGTCAGTGAGATCAAAGGTCACTAGGAGGTGAGGGGGATGAAGGCTGGGAAGAAATTGGATTTGATGATCAAAGGTCATCAAAGGCCCTCATGTTGGTGTTTCAGAGAGGGTTGGGGTGGAAGCCAAATTGTAAGGTGTGAGTGGGAGCCAGGTTGGCATGTGACCCAGGGAGTGGTGGGAGGCAGCTGGCAAGGACCCTCCATCCTGTGCATTCATCTCAGAAACTAGGGCAGCAGGTGTCAGCCACAGGAATCAACACAGCAGAATGCAGCCTGGTATTTTTCCTTTTCCCATGTTAGTGATACTTGCAGGGGTTTGCAAGGCAAGAAAGTGGAGAGTGGGGAGAGTAGGCCCAAAGCCTCCCATCCCCCAGTGTGAATCCAAAACAGAGAAGTCCACAGCAGCCAGGAGAGGGGTCAAGGGGGACAGTCACAAGTAGAGACAACAGCTCTTCCTCTGAGGAAGGGAAGCGAAAGGGACAGGGGAAGGTGTGAGCCCGTTAGATGGTGAGGAGCACAGGCATCCAGAAAAGCTGGAGGCCAGAGTATTGGGAAAGGTGACACTGGAGACACTGCCCCTTCAAGAAACCCTAAATATGAGCATGGACATAGGTGGGGCAACAGGGCCGGGGGAGGGAAAGGCAGGCGAGGCCAGGTGGTCTCAAGACTCCAAGCCATTGTCCTGATAGCTTCCCTTTTAATTCACTTAAAGATTTTGAAATAATTTTAGATTTGCTTAAAAGGTACACCAGTAGCATGGCAAAGCTTTTGATCTGGCCTCTGCCTCCTGATGGCCATTTCCCTCAGCCCCATCACCCCGACTCACCAACCCAGCTCCTTTCAACCCCCACACACAGTCCCCATCTCCACCTGCAGAAGCCTCTGAGGCCCCAAAGGAGAGGGTGCAGGCCTTGGGCTGTAGTAATCTTTTCATCTTCTTTAGCACCTAACAAACAACAAATGACTGTTAGCACCTGAATAGCTGTAGAATAGACATCTTCCTTTACATCCCTGGAAAAAAACTCAGGTCCCCAATCCTTTGAGTGGGAAAGAATTCCGCAGATGGTAGGAGCCCTGGCCTGGGCTCAGTGGCTTTGGGGAAGCGGAAGACTCGGCTTGGTTATGAAGATAGCCCCAGGGTGCAGAAACTTTGCGCCTCTCAGCGAAGGCAGTTCTATAGCCACACATCTGCACAGACAGGAGCTAGGGAGAGGCAAGCCCACCCTCCAGTGGTCATGTTTGTAACTGCAACCCAGCAACCTCCATCTTCCCAGATCTTCTGGCCAAGATGCCTAGCAGCATTGAGCAGCTCAAGTCAGGCAGCTGGGATCACCTGGCTGTGAAGGCTTCATGTGCCCAAGTGAAGTGAAGATGCACACTCCACATGTGCAAAGGAGCATCGAGGCATCACACACATTCAAACAAACCTGTACCTTTTATTCTGGTGTTATAAATAAGCATACACAGTCAATGAGGTTAAAGAACCCATTAAGGCCATTTCACTTGTAAGCATCGGACCTGGACCGAGGCATGATGCTGTTTATACCTAAAATGAGATAAATGGACTCTGGTGTTGCTGTTCACTGTTATCACACCTCAGAGTTATCCAAGGAAATTTAAACACATATACCCTTCAGTCCAACAGTCCTCCTGAGTCAGAATCCCTGGATGGGTGACAGGAATTAACTTCCCAGAAAGATAAAGTACATCTCTCCTAAGAGCTGGGGAATAGTGAGCAGACTATCAATTCACAGAGTCAGCACATGTTTATTTCACTTTTGGATCATCTAGGACTGGTGCATGTGAAGGGCCCAAGAATATTTGTGAAATTGATGAGTGGATGAGAAAATGATTCTGAGACTCCATCCAGCTTTGACACACTACGACTGGGATTCCACCATATACATGAACACCCAGAGTTCTCTATACACATGACAAATGTGCACACAACACAGGGGCAAAGGAGAATGAGGCCTGCCACATCCTGCAGCTGCCTGACCTCCCATCCCCATGCACTCGTGCGCACTTCCTTCTTCGATCACCTATATTTATTGCACACCCATTGGGTGCATGGCCCAACCCAGGCTCTGGCCAGAGGCAACTTCGAGGCTCTCAAGGACCAGCCCTACTCTGTGGCAAGCATTATCAGAAGGGAGGAGGGTAGCCTGGCAGGAAGGCAGGAGAGGCAGCATGGCAATAGGCGGGCAGCAGAGGGCCCCACTTGGCAGACAGCCTATCTGTATACTTGGCTGAACAGAAACAATAGTGGTGGCTCCCTTCAACCCATCCTCCTTCCCACAGACACAGCCCCAAGTCCCAGTCTTGAAACTGCCCCTGGAGAACAAGTCTGGCTGTGAGGCAGCCAGAGAGCAGAACAAGGGGACTTCCCAGGGGAGGACAGCAGAGCCTTGGGAAACCAGCTCAGGGGGAGGAAAGTGTCTTGGTGCCCTAAGAAGTGCATCTTTAAGGGGTGTGCAGTGGAGGTATCTCCCATGCCTGACTGAGGAGGCCCTGGTCTCCTGCCTCCATTCTATCCCAGGAATTTCTACTCAGCTACAGCTCTGGCCAGGCAGAGCACCCCCCCGGGGCAGGGGAACTGTCCCCACCTTTTACCCCTCCACCTTTGCCAGCTAGGTACACCTCTGCTCTTGGAAAACAAAGGGTCCTTGTTCCCGGCACTCCAGGGATTTCCACAGAGCTCCAGAGGCCCTCGCTGTGCTCTGTTGATCAGCAACTGAGCACCAGGTTCTCATCTTCCCAGAGTAGGACAGCTGTAGGGGAAGGAGCCAGGGGAGACAAGGGCACTGGGCGAGAGAAGCATCTGAGGGCCTTCCCAGAAACCTGCCCCCTAGTGGGCAGGGCTGGAAGACACTGCTCCCTGGGTCACCACTGAGTTCCCTGAAGAGTTCCTGCTCTGTTCTGGGGCATCCCCTGGCAGGTCATCTAACTGTCCTCAAGGCTGGGGCTCCCCTGGCTGGCCTGGCCTGAACCCTCCCCCAGGTTCAAGTGAGCACAGCATATGAAGCCACCTGGTTCTGAGGGATGGGGGTGACATGAGATGAACGCTGGGAGTGGAACCCAGTCCTCATTCCACCTCATTCTTCCCTCAGGAGGGGCCAGGGACTGGGGCAGCACAGTGACTGTCACGGCAGTGATGGGCAGGCACAGCAGCATTAGGGATGCTCCAGTAAGCCAGGGAATGAATAGAGTCACAAGGGAAGCAAGTGCTGCCCCTCAGGAGAGAAGGGAGGCACCTCAGGCCTCATCTTCGACCCAGTAAAATGAAGTTCTGTTAAGGGCATCATCTCCATCTACCCCAGAAAGGGGGCAGGTCTGTGAGATGGAACCAGCTTCACAGCTGATTGCGGTTCCTCTTGGGGATGATCTTGCGGTAGGTTCTGCGCTCAGAGATGTTGCGCTTCACCTTGGCTGTGGTGGGGGCCTCATCCTGGTGCAGGGAGGGGCTCGAGTGGGACTTCTTCAGGCTGGGTTTGGGTTCCCTGGTGTCTTCAGCTTCCCTCCCCAGCTGCTCCTCCCAGAGATCCAGGTCCCCAGAGGGGCAGCGCAGACGAGCCACCAGCAGCTGCACATACGTCTCGTAGCGGGTTTTCTGCAACACACAGGGCAGAAGGAAGCTGGAATCATGAGGGACAGCTTGCAGGCATGTGCAGCTACGGGGACAGAGAGCTCTGCAGACAGAAGGCCAGGCCAACAGCCTCTGCACAGTGCTTGAGCAATCAGGCTCTGCAGGGTGTGCCTATGGATCACATTATAATCATACAAACCAACCCTAGCCTATTCTAACAACAAACATGCTGCAGTGCTGTAACAAACATCTTTACACCATGTTACACCTCCGAGGCACTACATGACGCATAAGCCCCTCTGCCTGGGATCTGCACAGCATTATACCCAGGCAGCTCACATCTGGACGGAGCCCTACAGAGTCTGAATAGTATGTTAACAATTGGCATCTGTAGAGCATGAGGCCTGCTACCCTCAGCTGTTTAATAGTTTGTAATGAGCATCCTTGGGAGACCTGGAGTTTACAAAGTGCTTTCCATCCTCCACTGGATTCTCATCCAGGGCCTGGGAAGTTGGTTGGACACATCTGTGATTTACAAAAGAGGAAATGGGTGCAGAGAGGGCCAGTGCCCAATGTCCCCAACTGGGAGAAGTTGGGCCCTTTCAGCAACACTCCTCAAGCCTCTGGGGAAGCGGCCACTCACAGCCCCCTTGTGATAACCAGTAAGCTAAGGCATTGAGCAGGAACCCTGAAAGTAAGCGAGGGAGAGGGTGGGCCACACAAGTTTTCAGTGGGCACAGGCAGGAGGCGATATTGATGCCCCTTCCCCTGCTACCCTCTGTTCTCACAGAGCACTTCACCTGGCCTACACTTCCTGCCCTCTGGGCTCCCAGGACTCCTGAAGCAGGCACTTGGCATAAGGGTGCACACCTGGGATGTGTAAGGGGGAGGTTGGGAGTCAGACTAAAGTGCAGTTTGGAATCAATTATAGACAAAGACAATAAAAGTAATGCAAGTATAGTTAAGACCACACATTAGGCACACACCTGCCTGGAGCAGACTGTAAATCTAGCAGGTTGGGTAAAGTAGTTTGCTCAGTGCCTCAGTTTCCTTATATATAAAGTGAAGATGACAGTACCTAACCCAGAGCTGTTAATCAAATGAGATGATCTATGCAAGTAATGCCAGCTCCGTACATACTATTATTATTGGGTAGGCATTGGGGGAATAATTCAGCTATAATACAGTTTTTCCTTCAACTTGAGAAAAGCATGCATGAGTGTGTACAGTCCGTATGTCCCGTGTGCACTCACACCTTCTGCTCTGGCACAAGGGGGAGTGACGGCTGTAGGAACAGAGGCAGCCACCAGAGGGAGGCCTCGGGCATCTCACCTCGTACTCCAAGTACTCCTTCCGCAGGCGGTGCTCTTCCAGAACGCGGCTGCGGCCCCGCTGCTCAGGTAAATTCTTCTGTAGATCCAGCAGGTCATCCGAGGCGGCGTCCAGGCAGTTCTCGTGGGATCGATGCTGTTCCTCCTGGAAGGGGGAGGCGACAAGGATGAAGGAGCTGCCCCATGTCCCCCACCTGCCTCACTGCTTCTCCTCTCTCAGGGGCCCAGGTGTGCAGCCCTCCTTTGCTGATTCCCAGGCCAGGCTGTGGGCCCGGCTCCACTCATCCTGGGGACCTTACCAAGGAGCTCTGGGCCGGACCAACTGGCAGGATAGGCCGCACAAACCGGCGCTGGGAGCCAACGGCGGCGGGGAAGGGCGGTGCTGAGTGCATGGCTGCAGCCAGGTTGATGCGCGCGATCCAGGAAGTCATCTCCTTGGCTGTGCTGTGAGCATGGGAGGACGTCAGTCCTCAGGAACAAAATCACCGCCCAACACCAACACACAACACACACGCCTGCCGTGCTCTGCAGTCATCCAGCCACTTAGGGTTCCATCCCCCAAAGACAGAATCTGGGGCTGACCTCTGCTAGCGGTTTTACCTTTGAAAAGAGTTTAGGAAGGCAAGAGACTTTGCATCAAGTGCCAGAAACGATAGATTATTACGGACTTCCTGGAGTCCTCTGATCAGCACTAGGAGGTCTGACACTGACTTACCAGGAAAGGTGCAAAAATTAGCCAAGTGGGCCCAAGGTGAGGAGGAGCTGGCCAGGCCATCCCCCTGCTTCACCTCTGTATCCCTAGCATCTCTTGGGGCTTCAGCCAGCAGGAATCCCACATGAGGGTGAAGTTGGTCCAGCCTGGCCGCCCTAGGGACTTACGGTGCTTGGAAGAGGTAGAGGCGCCAGTCTGCAGTTCTCAGCTGAAAGACGTGTGGCTTTTTGGTGTAGTGGGTGGCTGGGGTGGCCAGCGCATGGTGTACCCCAACAGGCTCATCCACCATCTGCCCAACCAAGCTCTCCCCATCCAAGGACTGGTCCTCTCCCTGCACAGGCACAGGGTGCTCAGAGAAGAGAGACTGTCATCAGCTGCCACCCTCCCTCCTGATAGTTCTGGGACTCTACCTGCCAGCGTTATGGGACTCCCTTCCTACCTTCAGGAAGTAGAGAACCATTCCTCGCAGTAAGGTGTGGAACATCTTCCAGCCACGCTTGCCCCATGGTGCTGTTCCAGGAGCAGACACAATGGTGGGCAGTGCATCCACATCCAAACACACTCAGACACGAGTGTGCACACAATTCCCCCACCCTCACACCACCTCCAGTCCCTCCCAATGGAATACATACAAACACATGGGGCATATTGATACCAAAAACACACATAACCACAAACATGCAGGGAGTCTCCACATACAGGCAATCCCACTCAGGAGCAGCCAGACACAACTATCTGCATACAAATGTGGATATTCATATCCACTATCTCTTCAAACACACAACCACCGCCCCAGTGCAAATAACCCACCAATAAACAGTTCCACTCAGACTTCCTATAAAATGATCTTGATGGCGTGTGCCCATCTGGAAGGGCACATGGCTCAGGTCCCAGTCTTCCCTGTGTACCTGCTTTGCAGAACAACCTCCCTCCCTTTTGCCTTCCCTCCCAACTCTCCCACACTGTAAGACCTGTCTCGGCTCCTTGGACAGAAGAAAGCCCAGTTCCCTGTGGTCACCACCCTGCTCAGCTCCCTGTGGCTCCTCACAGCCCATGCTGGACCCCTTCTTGGTAGCTGCATGCTATTCCATCTGTGAGACCGAGCTGGTTTCTCTGGTCAGTCTGCTTAAAAGCTTTCTTCTGCTGCCTGGGGAATGAGGCCCAAGGACAGACCCGGGAAATTTTGCCCCAGTGTATCCCCTGCCACTCCCTTTCATGCAATTCAAGTTCTCAGCAAATTCTGCTTGCTCTCTTCTTTGCAGGCAATGCCTTCTGCCCCAGTGCAAAAATCCAGACCCCTTATCAGACCCTGACAAGGAATGTCACCATGCAGTAGAAGCCTTCTCTATCCTTGTCCCCACATCCAGTCCTCAGAACAAAATCAAAAGCCTTTCCCTCCTCCATAACCTCATACTGGACCCAGTGTCCCCTACAGACCACATTCTTCTTACCCTCTATCCAGATAGCAATACACTTGTGTGGTCTCTGCCTCACCACAGGGGTGCTAAGGGCCTGGCAGTAACTAGACTGCTTTGTCCCAGCACTTCACTCCCAACCCCCTTACCCAGTTCCTGGCACAGTCACCATTCAGGATATGCCAAGTAAGGATCACGGGCTGCCTGTCCCTGTCATGGCCTGTCTCTCTGCACAGCATGCACACCTGAGCAGAGCCGCTCCCTACACACCACCCTGCTAACAGGCAGGAAGCACTCACTCTTCTTGCCATCTGCATCATGATGCATCTTCCGTGCCAGGATGCCCTGCTTATAGGTGGGCACCGTGGGGTCCTGAGCCAGCTGGAGAAAGGGCTTACTCATCTTGCCAGCTGGGGGAGACGGCCGGGCCTTCTCTGTTGTGGCTGACTCTTCTTCATCCCTGGATGTCAGAGAATTGAGCTGGGAAGTTAATTGGGCAAAGACCACCAGAAATAGCCACCACCTCCCATAAGAGTATCCCCCAAGCGGAGTCCTCCTTCAGACTTTATCAATTCCTGGATTGATTGCTTCAGCCACCCATACCCCAAACTACCTCTGACATCTAATATTACCTGAGCTCCTCTTTCCTCCCTGAGATGGGCCTAAGAACACCTTGCCTCTGGCTCCATCTCACCCAAAGGGTATGTCATCCAGGGCCCTGAACTTCTCCAGCTCTTAGGTGGGTGACAGAGGGAGGACAGGCCCAGCAGCAGGGGGAAGGGGGACGGGATATAGAGGAAGGGGGCTCTTACTTACATAACCCACTCAAGCTTCTTGTTTCGGATAGACCAGTAGAGGGCCTGCAACAGAAGCACATGGGTAGGCAGAGAGGTCTTGGGCTGTGATCCCTAAATCATTGCCTGGCAGACAGCTAAGGACATGTGTATGGCCCGTCCCCTCCACCCACAACATATCTGCCCTTCTTCCTTAGGTAGGAAAGCATCCATTCATCTATCCATCTATCTGTTCATCCATCCATCTGACTGTCCATCCATCTGCCATCCATCCATCCACCCACCCACCATCCATCCGTCACCTATCCATTCATTCATCCATCCAGGCAACACATCACCTATGGAATATTTCTCATGGGCCTGACCCCATGCTGCTACTGGAAACATAATTATCAAGGCATCCAAGTTGCTGCTTTGCCCAAGCTCAGTGAAGCCTAAAATAATCCTTTTGAAGAAGATAAGAATCATTCACTACCATCCTGCCCAGAGGGACCCAACAGAGAAGTAACCCAGTTGAACACCTTCCCCTAATGTAAGTGTGATACATGAATGAATGACTGAATGATGTACTAGAACTTTGATATAACAAATAATATTAACATGGATGTATCTCCCTTGCTTTTGTGGCCCTTAAAGTACCTAGCAAAGTGTCTGGCACAGTTAATAAATGTTTACTAGAGAGAAGAATGGAACATCGATCACTTATGAAGCATATGCTAAATGCCAGGCACTGTGCTAAGTAAGCAATTTTAATTCATCTTGACTATAAGGTGGTTGTTAGCACAGGTGGAACTTGAGTTGATGAGGTGGGCGACAGACTAGGTTGCTCAAGACTAGAATTCAAAGTAGGAACGCCTAGCTCCCAAGTTGGAGCTCTAGACTTTTGCTACATAAAACTTTCCTTTTCATCTACTCAGACAACAAATAAACTTAGCACTTCTGACTTTGAAGGGGCAAAAATCACCCTGAAACTTAATAAAACATTTGAGGAGCCTTAGATCTAGAGAGCATAGTTTGGGAGCTCCAGGGCTGTGAATTTATACAGCTGACAAATTCCAAGATGCTGTCGATACTGCCAGCAAGCGACCCACTTTTAGTAGACTTTCAACAGACAAACCACATCTCCTCAAAGGGTGTTTCAGCAGAGCTCCCCATTCCCCTTGGGTCCCAGCCCAGCAAGGGATGCCTTTGCCTCACCTTCAGCAGCTCCTTGGGGAAGTTCCCACCATCCTGTAGGCCATTCAGGTTGGCTATGAATTCCTGGCAGCTCATGCTCTTTCCAATGTTCTGTGGCCATGGACAGACATAGGACAGCTAAAGTGCCCCACCAGACAGAGCACACTCCCAAATGGCCCCTCCAGAATTCTCAGTAGGCCCCCAGGACCACATGCCAAGGGGCCCTGTTTTGACCCACCTCAGGCCACTGCAGCCCTTTCCCTTTCCCCCTGCCAGGGATCCACAGGTGCTTTCCGAGCTTCTTACCTGTCCATGCAGGTCTGTGTTAAGAAGCATGATGGCACAGGTCAAGGTGTGTATGGAATCTGCCCAGGGAGGCCAGTGGAGGAAAGTCCATTAGAACCCAGACTTCTCCATTCTCAGTCCACATTAGGTAGGGTGACTCCTATTTCTCTGCAGTCCCCAACACTCCCAGCAGCTGTGCCCCAGTGAACTCCCAAGTAGGTACAAGGACACTTCTGTGCCAAGTCCCATGGCCCTGCCTCGGGCAAGTCCTCCCTACCTACTGAGGGGAAGGCCTCAGGGTTGCAGTGGTAGAAGCGTCTAGAAAACTGGTAGAGGATTCGCTCCCGCTCTTGTGTCTCCCCGCTGAGTACCAGGGCTTGGAGGAAGGCCCTGCAGAGGAGAGACAGGTGTCAAGGAAAGCTAGGCTGGCCTGAAGATGCCCTGAAGATTCCTGGGGCTCGGACCTGAAAGTCCTGCCCATCCCTCCTACCTAGCCTCCCCAGGGGGCCCAAAGGTGTTACCGGAGGGCGCAGTCCAGGCTTTGGCCTCCAAACTGGAAGAAGGACAAGTACTCCTCAGCCACAGCCCTGCTGAAGTCATTGCTGCAAAGGGAAATGGGGATGAAGACTGCAATAGAAGTCAGGCTGGGCCACAGACACAGAGGGCCCTCCAGAGCCTACATGCATCATGGGGACTGATCATGGGGGAGACAAACAAGGGAAAGGCACAGCTAGGCTGGACCCCAGGTACAAGCCCAGAGGGTAGCCAGGGTCTGGCCCACCCCAGCATCAGGTCCAGTGTTACATAGGAGGGACTCAGGGGTCTTGGGGTTGGCAAGGGGGTTGAGCCCAGAGGCTCCAAGCAAGCACCTAGGTGAGGAAACAAGGTGACTGTGCCCGGGAGAAGTAGCAGGGACGGCCAGGGAGTGAAGAAAAGGCTGAGGACGAGGGATAGGCACGCTGTGGGGAGAGGGACAAAGGAGATGCAGGATAGGAAAGGGAGGAGCAGCCACTGGAGAACTCAGGCCCAAAGTTTCTTACTTCTTCTGTAGGTAGGCAGCCACTTCTGATTTCCGGAAACCATCCAGGTGATAGAGCCGAGAAGCCAAGTTCCAAGCCACTTTGTCATTCCTTATACCATTCGCCAGCTTATCTCCACCTGGTGACCTCTGGTCTTCCTTGGGGGACTGTGCCTGGGGCATGGGGCTCTCGGAAGACCTAGAAGAGTCCATTGCTGTCCTCAGACACACACTTGGGATGGGCATGCTGGGGCTCTGGGTCAAGTTGTAGAAAGACATGTCCAGAGCTTAGGATTGGGGCAGAAGTGCCTGAGTCCTGAATGGCCATCCTAGAGGAGCTACACCTAGACCCTCACCCAGGAAGAGACAAAGTCATGGCCGGTCTGGCCTGAGCTGGGACCAGAGATCCCAAGGGGAAGTATTCAAGGACCAGAGTCAAGTCTGATGCCTTGAATATCCTCAGGTGAACTCCAGGGGTCTTCCAAGCCATCTTACCTCAAGAGGCAGTGCACACAGCCCTTCAATCCATAGTGGGATGGGAATATCTCCCTCACTGGAGCCCATAGTCACAGATCTCCATCTGCCTACCCCAGCCCCAACCCTAGCCTCAGCCTCTACACCTAGCTCTGGAGCTAAGAGAAGAACCAGGCCAAGAATAGGGATCCAGACTAGTTTTTTGAATGGTGACAACTTGGAGAGTCGAGGAGGTTTCCAGTCTCCCTCTGACCCTGCCAGTCATTAGGTGACTGGCTGGTGACCTTAACAATGTAAACAGGCTCAGGAAACCCTACCAGTGTCAGAGCATGCTCAGAGGCTAACACTTGACTCCCAAAAGTTCATTTCCACCTGATTATGCTGGTCCCCCTGCAGAGTTACAACCAGGTGTGAGGCATCCAAGCCATTTACACATTCATGATCCAAGGCAGCACAGTTGAGGGTTGTACATACAGGCAGGCAAACAGCATCAAAATATGAGAACAGTCATTAACAAGATGACCACTTAACAGACTTCATTTAACAGCCTTTGCACTTAACATGAGTGGGTCAGTTCTTTGCTGAGAAATTCTCCACTTTCTGAGACTCCTAAACATCCTACAGTACAGGATATATGTGAAGAAACTGTAAAGTGAAGAAAAAAAAAAAAAGTAAGATTATATGGAGTCCATAAAAGCAATGCTCAAAGTCTCCAAGAGTCAAATGGAAAGCCATGGATCAGTAAGGGACTGCAAGAGTTAGTCCACTGAACAAGAGAAGAGGGAATAAAAAGAAGAGGAAGAAGAGGAAATAAAAATAATGATGCATTTGTAACATCAAAGAGAATCATTTAAATAATCCACTGACAAAGGCCTAAAATACTTTTTTTTGATGACTTAAAAAAGTATTGTCAATAAAATAATGTCCAGATGGGGAAGAACTTCAGGGGAGAAAAAACACTATCCAAATAATGGAATTGTATACTTTAAATGGGTTAACTGTATGGTATGTGAATTACATCTCAATAAATCTCTATATTTTTGAAATGGTCTTTATGATCTCACTGTGAAAGTCAAGCATAAGTGAAAAAGGCTAGCACACTAGTACCAGGAAAATTAAAGTTGCTACCCTGTGCCAAATGTAAGATTAAATAAAACTTATTTAAATAATGTTTAGTGCCATTTGTCAAGATAAAGTCTCAACTACACCTTTTTGAATTATTTACCACAAAAGTATAGTTGTCCTGTTAGGTGGACAGAGTTTTGATTGAGATAATAAAGCATCCATTTCAGATACTGAGACATTTTTGGTACCTAGACTGTGAACAGCTACAGGGGGCCATCGTTTCCAGAGATATAACGAAAAGCAGGTCTTTGGCTTCTGGCCTGGACCAATGTCCTGTCATCATCAACCAAGGATAGTGAGATGGGAGCAGGGTTATATTCTAACTTCTGTACCATTATCAACCTGAACCACCACTATCTTCTCCTGTCTCTTCAGTATGACCCCTACTTAGTTAATCAGAGACCAAAACCCCCTTCCCATGTAGACTTCCCAGAAGTTGGCATACTGGGGCAGGTAGACATCTAAGCTGGTTTCCCAGTTGGCCTTATCCCTACCTGTGGCCACAGTTCTGAGTGTTACACGATCCTGCTGTGGGCACCAAGACCCATGCTCTTGGTCCCAATCAAACCTCTCCTTGGTACGATCCAAATCAGCATCCTGGCCTAAGCTCTTTGGTGAATTTCTTACAGACACTTCTCAAAGCAGACTGCCACCATGTGTGTGAGTCTACTCTTTAGCTTCTTGTGCTTTTAAACCCTCTAGTCTTCAGCAAAACTCTACTAGTGTGCAGTTATAGCATCCTATATAATCGATGTAATAATGTCATGAAGATTGCAATTAAATATGTTAGATCTCAATGTGCATTTCCCAGACTTCATCCAGACCAGGGTCTGTATGTGTGATCATCATGAGGGGCTAGCAGCTGCTTAATCTGACACTCACCCTTCTGTAGAAGTCCAGTTAATGTTGGGCTGGACGCCTGCAGCCAATGCAATCCTAGCTGTGCCTTTACTCTCTACTTCCTGCTCTGGGTCTGGGGCCTCCCCAGCCTCTTCTTTCTTCAGGGAACTTGGCTCTATCCCATCTATTTCCAGGAGCAAAGGGTGTGAGGCATTTAGTGGCCACTTGGGGAAAATGCCAGGGCTGTGGTGCTGGAGCTGCAGGCTGCCCTCCTGGGAGGACACTGGGGTGGGCATGGGCCCCGGGCCTCTGCCCTTAGACACAGGGCTGCCAGGCTCAGGTGAGGATGCTGGGCTCCCACAGGGGCTGGGAGTGAAGGTGCAGGCAGTAGGTTCCTGAGGACACCTGGCATCCAGCTCACCTGAGGAAGAGCACACAATAAGCAGGTGCAGGATAGCTGGCTGCTGCCCCCAGAGCACCTCCCCAGGCACCTCCTCTGGCAGCAGGCAGCATACCCTGTCTTCCCACATGCAGTGAGCCTACCTTTGGCTCGAAGGACTCCAGTCCCTGGGCAAGGTAGGGCTCAGTGCTTGAGAAGCACATGAGAAATGTTGGGTCTTTCATACATTACTTCACTTACTCTATGAGTATTTGAAAACCCATTTTATTGATGAAGGCATAAGAAGCAAAGGCTATATTTAAGCCCAAGTCTGTCTGCTCCAACACAATAAAACAAACCCAAGAACCACCTCTGTCTCTACTCTGAATACCAAAGCTTCCCACCACCCAATTTCTCAGACTCCAATCATGGGTCTCACCTCTGTCCTGGTGCCAGCAAGGACCCTCTTCTGTCTGCCAGCCCTCAGCGCTCGGTGGGGCCTATTGAGAGAGGTAGAGTTGAGTAGGGAAGGAGAGAAGAGAGGCAGAATGGCCAGGTATAGAGAAGCCCCTTCCTTCTTGCCAACCTCCCACCCATAGCATGGGCACCAGTATGATGTGCATGGACAAAACCCACATCCTAGGAGTGTTGACACTGGGCCCTGGAAACCAATGATGAGAGTGAGGACCAGAGAGGGGAAGTGACTTGCCCATGGCTGTGTAGGATGAGTGGTAGGGCTAAGGTCCAACCCAAGGTGTGCTGTCTCCCAGGTAGATGTTTTGTCTACAAAGGGTTCTGCAGGTGAGGCAGGGACACGATCATCTTCCAAAAAAGCCTGAGAAAGAGGAGGGCAGCGAGAAGAAAGTTTGACCAGAGGAAAACTGATGCAAGCCAGGGCCTTGCTCACCTTTGGTGATCTCCCCCGCTCATCTGCTGTCCAGATGGTTAGGCAGCTCCACCCTAGGAGGGGCTGTGGGAGGGAGGGTGATGGCTCTGGGCATTGGCTGGGTGGGCTGTATCCCCAGAATGGGAGAGAAGTCCCAGTTTCAACACTGGCGCTCCTAGGCTTCCCTCTAGGGACCTAGCATCTTAGAGCAAGGTCTGGAGAGAGCTCTGTCCTTCAGAGCTGTGCTCGTCTGTGCATGGAGGGGCACTGGCCTATGCATACAGGCACCCCCTGCAGTATCACTGAGGGCCTCTGATCCCCACTGCTCTCGGGGAATGGAAAGATTAGAAAGTTACAACCTCATGCTGCCATCTTGAGTCTCCTTATCTCTAAAGCAGAGGCCTCCCTGGGAAAACTGGGCTCCCAATTGTTTCCTCTAACTTATCCAGTCCCTGGCTGATACCCAAGCTCTCCTGCCATTGTCAGAGGGGCCAAAGCTGTTGACACTGGGCAGAGGGAGAATGAAGGATGGTGAGCTAAAAGTAACAAAATGCTGAGGCTCTCTCAAGAAAACAGAGGACAGCACTTCTAAAATACACAGCTCTCTGTTAGGCAAAGAGGTCAGTGAGGCTGACCCCTGGCCTGTTACAGTCAGCAGTGTCTTGGAGGTGGGTGGGGAAGGATCTGAGAATGCTTGGGAATATCTTGCAATGGGAGGAACTGTTTGTTCTCTGAATGTATCCAGACATAACCCCAAGAGCTGGTGAGCTGATGACATTTGTGGACTTAGTTGTAATCACATTCAGTCTACTTCATGGCACCAGTAAAATTTCCCCTAATTCTGAAGGCCACAATGCTGATTTTCTCCTCTATTACCTCAGATTCCAAAAGGCCCCAGTATCACAAAGACTGCTCTGGATCTAGTGGCCCTTGAGGAAAGCCCTCCTTTGATGTCTCCAGTACAGCTCCGGTGGCTTTCCAGGACTAAACTCACCTCGCCTTCCTCCTGAGCAGGTGGTGCTGTGGGAGTTCCCTCGGTAGTGGCCACCGAGGTCCAGCAGAAGGGGTGTGATTTGTAGGGAGGCACCGGGAATGGAGGGGTGGTGCACCCACTGGATCCAGCAGTGCTGCCCCCCAAATCCAGCTCATTTCCTAGCTCCAAGGGCCTGCTGTCGCATGGGAATGGCCAGTCAGACCCAGGCCTCACATCTGCCTGGGAGTCTGGGAAGCCCCAGGAAAAGCACTCCCTGGAAACACTGATGTCAGAGGCAGGGCTCTCTAGGAAGAGGGGGTTGTCGAAGAACACGCTCTCCTCCTCGGGACCCCACTCTGGAGAGGATCCTTCCCTGGGCCAGGCTTGGTTCTCCCCCTCAGGGCCACTGCTGTCTTCCCCAGAGTCCCCTTCTGTGGGTGGGCTGGGGTGTAGGCCTGTGTCACCAGAGAGGTCTGGAGTGGACGTGGGGAGGCAGCACCTCAGCCTGGTCTTCAGTCCTTCTGTCTTTTCCAGCTCTTCCTCCAGGTCCAGGACGCACATCTGGGCCTGCAGGATGCCAGCCCAGAACACCACCTGTGTGGACGAGCTCTGGCTCTGCGGTGGAGCCCCCAGGGTACAGCCATCACCCTGTGCATCTGACAATGCTGCTACGGGCCTGAGCTCCCTCTGTGAAGAGCAGTTTCCCACATAGTCAGGCTCCATACCAGAGCTCCTGGGAGGAGCATCTTGCCTGGTGGGTTCAGGAGGGTTGAAGGTCCAGGTGTGCTCCCCAAGAGGTTCCAGAGGATCTGGGTGGTGGCCTGTCTCCCTCAGACATGCTTCTGGGCAGGACTGCAGGTTGTCTCCCAAGCAGATACTGAGCAATTCCACCGGCTGGGGGTGGTCCAAGAGTCTGTCGTCACCCATCATCCACAGTGAAATCTCTGCAGGAGCCCTGGGAGTGTCTGCTTTCACAGTCTCATTTTGTGGACTAGGAGGAGCACAGCCAGGGGGTCAAGTGGGCATCCACACCTATCCTGGAGATCCCCAAAGCAGAAGCAGATTAGAGAAGGGACATCAGCACCCAGAAGTTCATGGGCAGAGCAACAGACATGTGTCAAGTGCCTGCCATGTCTATGACTGCTGCAAAGGGACACCATCTGTCCTCACTGCCCCACCAGCAAGTAGGAGTGTAGCATACAATCCATATGAGCCCAGTCTCAACTTGCCATCAGGGCAGCACCTTCCCCAAAAACACCCATTTGCAGGCTGACACAATCTTCTGTGGCTTAGCTGAGAAGGATGAACTGGTCAAATAAGGACGAACTGGCAATTTAGATCAGAGAATGCAGAGACTGAGAGGGCTGGCAGCAGGAACAGAAGACAGACACAGCTAGAGGTGTTATGAAGGCCATGACGAGCCAAAATGACATGTACATCAACATATATGGGAGCTGAATAGTGGTGCACCTGGCAAAAGGAGGTGGCTTGTAGGAACGGCAGGCACCCAAAGAGAAAGGCTACAGTCTGCCTGATTTCCAGCAAACTATCCTATCTCTGCAACCTGAATCATTTATAAGGCAGGGTCTTGGTGCCCCCCTTGCAAGTTGTACACAGCTGTGCACCTTGGCCCAGCAGGAAGCAGGAAGAGGTTCTCTGCTAAGCTCAGCCCTGGACTCTTGGAAGAGGAAGCACCAGCTCTCCTAATTTACTGCTGAGCAGACCACCTGCTCCCTAGGGTGAGCTTCCTGCTCTCTGGGGAGGAATGGAGAAGCAGTGGCCAAGGCTGGCTTGGTCTCACATCTACTAGAGCTGCCCTTCGCATTATGCACATGACTACTCAGGGCAGGCTGTATTAGACACAGCCAAGGAACTTTGCCTGGCACTTTCTGTGAATTGTGGGTCTCTAAAGTCTATGTGTGGATGGCCTACACCTCTCTGAGTGGCCCTGATTCCTTGGAACAATGGCTTGTTTCAGCCCAATGGACAATGTTAAACTCATAACTTGTAACCAGTTTCCCTTTTGGTGCTAGGTAAGTACAAAGCTCTGTGATATGTATTTCCAGTGCTAACCACACCTCTGGTTTTACATCTTTTCACTGTTTGTCTCTGCCTCACTTTCTTCACCTATAGATTTCTATCTTAAAAGACTGCATGCATGCCTGTAAGCTGTACTGAAATATTGTGGGAACAAGGGCGATAATAAACACATGCATATTTGTACCAAACATATAGCTACATGTGACTTCCAGATATCCAATACAATAGCCCTTTCTGCCAGTCCAGCTAACCAAGCCCATCCTACCTGACACCTGGAGGAAAGGGGCACCTGCTGTGTCCATTTATTTACAAATGAGAAAACTCAAAGCCTGACACTGGACTAGATACCTGCAGCTGGAGAGAAAGGTCCAGATCCGGCCCCAGACCATTTGCAGCTGCCTCTCTGTCTAACATAGAGTGAATGTTGCCCAGGTTGTCTTCCCCAACATCATGACTTGTCCTTGTTCTAGGCTCCAATCCTCCCACTGAGGTGCTACCCCAGTCAGCTCTAAGTGGGCAGAGCCTAACCTAGTGCTCAGGTGCCCCAGAGACACAAGACCTACCCACCAGGGCCATTCTTCCATTGCTGGCAGCAGAGAGCACGGGGTAGAATGAATGACCACATGGGCCTGGGCTTAGTCCCCTCCCTGTCGCTGAAAGCTGAATGAATGAACCTCAGTCACTTGGGCAGAGGGACCGCAGAGCAGAGCTGGGTGCTTCATATCTAGCTTCAGCCCTGGAGCAGCCCATTAGCTGCTCAACACAGTATCCCTCAGGACTTGTAAACCAGGCCAGGTGGACTTCACATACTGTCTAAGGCCTCCTAGAAGGTGTGGCTTTGCTCATAGGTACCAAAGAGAGATGAAGCAGGGATAATATGCATGTCAATTTCTTAGGCCTCTTTGAAGCACCATTCTAAAAGTTCCTCAAAAATCACTTTCCCTCTGTCTTGACCCCTCATTTCTCACTTTCAGGGTAACTTGGCCTTGCTGAATGAGAGCCTCATGATTCTGAAGTTTCAGCTACCAGGACAGATTCCTGAGTAGCCTGCAGGGTCCTTCTATTATTCAACAATGTCAACCTCCCCAGAAGACTGACTTCAGGAGGACAGGACCATAATTTAGATTGTTTAATCTTATATTTGCTGCTTTGAACCAAACAGATTGAAATCGACTTGTCACTCTTCTCCAACTATTCTAGTTAAGTCTCCATCATTCTGGTTTTCAGATGCCCAAACCATTCCCTATCCTCCAGCCTACAGGCCAAAGCCCCTCAGGCACTCATAGGTTGGGCTTTGGAAGGTGATTAAATCATGGGGGCCATACAGCTGACTTGCTGTTAAGAGGTGGGGGTCTGATCAGAAGGCAAAAGTCATGGGTCATGACCTGGAAGTGTACCTCTCCCTCCTTTACCCCTCACTCTCTCTCTCTGCTTCCTGGCTGCTATGATGAGGGCAGCTTTCCTGTGAGGCAAGTCCTTCCCCAGGCTGCCTCTACCTTGGAGAAAAATGATTATGGACTGGATCCTCTAAAACATGGGAGCTACAATAAATCTCTCTTTTAATTTGTTGGTATTGGGTATTGAGTTCCAGCTATAACACAGCAACTAAAACACTCCCTAAGTTAGAGGAGCAACACTTGCTACCTTGTTCCCCATTTTTTAATACTTACTGCTCTCTTGATAAGAGGCCTGTGACAGTACTACTTCTGAAGGGGAATGGACAAGTTGGCCTCAGGAAGTGTTGCAGTTTGGATCTGAAATGTTCCCCAAAGGTCCATATTTAAATGCTTGATCCATAGCTTAACCATGTAGGAAGGTAGTGGAAACTTTAAAAGATGAGCCAGGTGAGGAGGTGTAGCTCAGTGGTAGAATGCTTGCCTAGCATACATGAGGCCCTAGGTTCAATCTCTAATAACACACACACACACACACACACACACGAGAGGCAGGGGCATGGGGGAGGTCTTTAAATCACTGGGGCCTGCCATCCAAGGAGACTGTGAGGCTCTGGTTTCTTCTTTTTTTTTGCTTCCAGGCTATGTGTATGATTACTCTGCCACTTGCGCACACCATGATATGTTGCCTTGCCACAGGCCCAAAAGCAATGGGGCCAGTCAATCATGGACTGGAACCCCTAAAACTATAAGCTAACACAAACTTTTTCTCTCTCTGATTATGTCTGATTATTTCAAGTACACATTACAGTGATGGAAGGCTGACTAACACAGGACCCACTATCTACACTCATGCAACTTCACTGAGCCATGAACCTCCCTCCCCAAGCCTGTCAGGAGACTGACCACATGACAGTAAGGAGCTGAAACGTCCCACCACTGCTGGCTCCTCAGGTAACTGGTCCAGAAGTGGCAAGAAATGCCCAGGAGTAATGTTACACCTGGATTATTGGTGCCTGAACATGGGGCAACCCAAACTCTACTTGACTGCCTCCCTTCCCAGACACCAATAGCATTCTCCCTTGCCTCTGCCTCCTTGCTAAGCCCTGCTCCATTTGAGCCCACCTGGTGCCCCTCCTGTATTCCATCCCTTCTCCTGTATTTACCTCCCATACCCATACATTGTGCTGGCCACCTCCAGGATGACATAAACTCACCCACTGTCATTAGTGAACTCACTTGACAGAGGGGCATAGTTCACCTGTCAATAATGAGAATGGGGCAGGACTGATGGAGGGGGTATCGTGCATTTAAATAAAATAAAACTAGAGGGAGTCCCATATGTCTGTCCTTGAAAATATGTATTTATAAATACACACACACACACACACACACACACACACACACACACACACACACACACACACACACACACACACACACACACACACACACACACATACACACAGGGAGGGAGGGAGGGAGAGGGGAGAGAGAGAGAGAGACAGAGAGAAAGAACTTATACCAGAATATATTAATTGGCTATGCTGGACATTATTAAGTGATAGATTTGTCTTGTCAGAAGAAACCCAATATTCCTCAATGTATTTTTTCAGAGGCAAAAAGAAAACCAGAGAAGGTGCAGCAACTTTCCAGAGACAAGAGCTATCTCTGGGGCCTCCAGCATCTGAAGGGCCTGGAGAGGTAAGGAGGCAGGCTGGGAAATAGAGAGGATCCCCAGGCAACAAGAAGAGCTGCGTTAGAGAAAGACCACAGACTGTGGGGCTAAGGTATGTGGTTTGCCTGAGCCAATACTCTTTAAATTAATTAAATCCAACCTGACTACATTCCACCGCTCACTTTTTTATTTCAGAGCATTTATCCCAGTGTAATTCCTGGCGTTTATTCATATGGTACTAGTTTGCCTGGATTAAGCACCAAGAAGGCAGGCTCTCTGTACTTCCTGTTCACTGCTGTGTTTGTCCTTGACTTGGCCACTTTCCTTGTGGCTGGGACAAAACACCCACCACCTGCAACTCAGAGGAGGGAGTTTATTTTGCTCACGTTTATAGTCCATGGTCAGCTGGCTCCAAAGCAAGATTGCTTGCCAGAGGGGCATAGAAGAGAAAAAGCTGCTCGGCTGGCTTATAGTGGCTAGGATGCAAAGAATAAATACAATCCCCTTCCAAAAATCCCTACTTCTGACTGCAGGAGCTTCATGGGGGACATCTAGATATAATCCATAATATTCTACCTCTGGCCCCCCAAAAGCTCATGATTATCTCTTTATGAAAAATGCATTTGGTTCATCTCTAAGAGTTTTCAAAGTTTTAACATCTCCAGTATTTCTGAAAAGTCCAGGTCCAAGGTCTCCTCTGAAACTCAAAGCAAATTCTTGCCTGTGAGTCCTCCCTTATAAATATCAAAAAGAAAAGAAAATATTACTAACATACAATGGCACAGGACAAACATTCCCACTCCAAAAGGGAGCAAAGAGAAAATAGAAAGAAATGGGATCAAAGAAAGACCAAAATCTATGTCTGGCTCCAAGGATGTGAGTGCTGAACAGCTTAAGTAGTCTCACCCCTAAAGCATTGCTGGTG